GTACCTATTTTACTGCTAGGCAACAGGGACATAGGGTGTAGTAGAGTTGTTGAGTAATAGAGTTGTTAACAAAAATTCTTCTCTGCTAGCGAGAGTAGTGGGAAAATGGAATGAACTAAAGGAGCACATTGTGGAAGCAAACACTATACATGGCTTTAACACTAGGTATGATAGAGAAGTGGGACAAGAGTCATTGCTTTAAACACCCGAAGGCTAGAAAGGCGGGACCCAAGAGCCAACGCTCGATCCTGCAGGTACAAGTGGGTGAGTACACACACATCCACCCTCGCGACTGAATGAACAGCACTCTGGGGTCGTAGTTTTAAGAGCCCAGGTTTGATTCCCGACCGAGGCAAACACCAATGGGCAGTGAGTGCATCTTTCACATAATGCCCCTATTAACCTAGCAGTAAATAGGTACCAAATAAATAGGTAAATAGGGACCAAAGAACCAGAGCTCAACCCCCGCAAGCACAACTATGCGAGCACACAACATACGTGTCACGCTCCACAGTATCGAGTATAAGCCTAAACAAATTAGATATATTTTCATGATATCCGCGACGAACTATACTCTGGTAAACAATGAAAAATATCCGTAATATAGGAAAAATAAAGAGAAATGAAAGTTGTTATTCCGCTTCACAGACGCTTAAAGCTGACGTATCGGAACATTAAAGTTACTACCATCATGAATATTAACTTTGATGTTTGGAATCGGTTGGCAGACAAATTAAATTACACTGACCAGAAAGTTACATATTGTATAGCTAACTTACTAGCTGTGTGTATAGTATATATACTGTACATATATTCACACACACATACATACATACACACACACACATACATACACACACACACAGTTAGGTTAGGTGAGTACGTACATACATACATACACATACATAAATACACACACACACACACACACACACACACACACACACACACACACACACACACACACACACACACACACACACACCCACCCACCCACCCACCCACCCTACTCCCAAGCACTACAAAGTGTGGTACATGATCACCACACATGCTACAAGCAACAGTGTTGGCCGTGCTTTTACTACTGGTTTAGGGGGAGAGGGGGGGGGGCGAGATGAATGCAAGTGGTGGGGCGAGGGATGGTGGGGGGGAGGAGAGAGGAGGGGGCCCCCATACATTCACAATCATCCCCCCCTCGTAGCGACTTGAACCGGTTTGCCTCCCGTACTAGCAGCGTCCAACTCGTTCATCATGCCTGCATTGAAGCCTTTTTTTTTACCCTGAGCTATTAAAACCAGTTGCCACAACGCCCCGTAACTCTCAGAATTTCATAAGCGGGAGAGATGAGTGGGAGCGTCTTCGGGTCCTGTCTTAACGCGTGCAAGCAGTGGTAAGTCCACCCAGGAGCTGCCATGATGATGATAAGTTCTACTTCCAACAATCACTTCAAATCCAGTGTGTCGTCGTGTCCAGTAAGCGATGCTCTTCCCACAAACTACTTACTACCCGTCATCAACGCAATACTTAAATCAACAATACTTGAACGTTTTCTTTCATTCCTAAAAATATATTGTAAAAAAAATTGTGTGTAATAACAAATGTGAGCTATACATAAAAATATTTTGGAAAAATTATCACAACAGTGGTATTCAATCTTCAGGAGGAAATGGCACTCTTAATTATGTAACTAACAGGGGGACAACATTGCTTAATTAGTGTTATATTTGACACCGTAAGAACAATGTATCCTTGTACAACCCTGGTTCAAACTCTCACAAGTCAGGCCGGGCTTGGGGAGTAGAAGAACTCCCAGAACCCCATCAAGCAGGTAGTAGCAAGGTTGAATACCTTCCCTCTGCAAGGGGGCAAGCAACACTGGCAGCCATCACAGCAACAGCTGGCAACACTGGCAGCCATCACAACAACAGCTGGCAACACTGGCAGCCATCACAGCAACAGCTGGCAACACTGGCAGCCATCACAACAACAGCTGGCAACACTGGCAGCCATCACAGCAACAGCTGGCAACACTGGCAGCCATCACAACAACAGCTGGCAACACTGGCAACCATCACAACAGCTGGCAACACTGGCAGCCATCACAACAACAGCTGGCAACACTGGCAGCCATCACAAAAACAGCTGGCAACACTGGCAGCCATCACAAAAACAGCTGGCAACACTGGCAACCATTACAACAGCTGGCAACACTGGCAGCCATCATAACAGCTGGCAACACTGGCAGCCATCACAACAACCTGCTGGCAACACTGGCAGCCATCACAGCAACAGCTGGCAACACTGGCAGCCATCACAACAACAGCTGGCAACACTGGCAGCCATCACAGCAACAGCTGGCAACACTGGCAGCCATCACAGCAACAGCTGGCAACACTGGCAACCATCACAACAACAGCTGGCAACACTGGCAACCATCACAACAACAGCTGGCAACACTGGCAACCATCACAACAACAGCTGGCAACACTGGCAACCATCACAACAACAGCTGGCAACACTGGCAGCCATCACAACAACAGCTGGCAACACTGGCAGCCATCACAACAACAGCTGGCAACACTGGCAGCCATCACAACAGCTGGCAACACTGGCAGCCATCACAACAACAGCTGGCAACACTGGCAGCCATCACAACAACAGCTGGCAACACTGGCAGCCATCACAAAAACAGCTGGCAACACTGGCAACCATTACAACAGCTGGCAACACTGGCAGCCATCATAACAGCTGGCAACACTGGCAGCCATCACAACAACCTGCTGGCAACACTGGCAACCATCACAACAACAGCTGGCAACACTGACAGCCATCACAACAACAGCTGGCAACACTGGCAGCCATCACAACAACAGTTGGCAACACTGGCAGCCATCACAACAGCTGGCAACACTGGTAGCCATCACAACAACAGCTGGCAACACTGGTAGCCATCACAACAACAGCTGGCAACACTGGCAGCCATCACAACAGGTGGCAGCCATCACAACAACAGTTGGCAACACTGGCAGCCATCACAACAACAGGTGACAACACTGGCAACCATCACAACAACAGCAACACTGGCAGCCATCACAACAACAGCTGGCAGCCATCACAACAACAGTTGGCAACACTGGCAGCCATCACAACAACAGGTGACAACACTGGCAGCCATCACAACAACAGCTGGCAACACTGACAGCCATCACAACAATAGCTGGCAACACTGGTAGCCATCACAACAACAGGTGGCAACACTGGCAACCATCACAACAATACACGTGACGCAAACATCACAATATACGTGACACAAACAAACATCACAACAATACACGTGACACAAACAACAATCACAACAATACACGTGACACAAACAACAATCACAACAATACACGTGACACAAACAAACATCACAACAATACACGTGACGCAACCATCACAACAATACACGTGACACAAACAACAATCACAACAATACACGTGACACAAACATCACAACAATACATGTGACACAAACATCACAACAATACACGTGACACAAACAACAATCACAACAATACACGTGACACAACCATCACAACAACATTATCACGTGTTGGAAAGCGAGTTTACGTGACCAAAGACAAGAATCCCCACACAATCCCGTCAAGTGAGGCAATTCTGAACAGCCCAGGTGATGTGTGTGCGTGTGTTTGTGCGTGAGGTGTGTTTGTGCGTGCGTGTGTTTGTGCGTGAGGTGTGTTTGTGCGTGAGTGTGTTTATATGTGCGTGTATGTGTGTGCGTATGTGTGTGTGAGTGTGGAGCATGCCGCCACCTCACAGCTCAGAGGATATAACTGTCTCTAAACATATCAGACAAAGAATTACAACTGTGTGTGTCTGTGTGCGCGCCAGATCTTGCTACACAAGGTCACTACTACACCATGTCTGTGTATACACGTGCACGGCGAGGCTGTAGAGGCCTCCATACGTGCACGGTGAGGCCGTAGAGGCCTCCATACGTGCACGGTGAGGCTGTATAGGCCTCCACACGTGCACGGCGAGGCTGTATAGGCCTCCACACGTGCACGGCGAGGCTGTATAGGCCTCCACACGTGCACGGCGAGGCTGTATAGGCCTCCACACGTGCACGGCGAGGCTGTATAGGCCTCCACACGTGCACGGCGAGGTTGTATAGGCCTCCACACGTGCACGGCGAAGCTGTATAGGCCTCCACACGTGCACGGAGAGGCTGTATAGGCCTCCACACGCGCACTAAGAGGCTGTATAGGCCTCCACACGTGCACGGAGAGGCTGTATAGACCTCCACTCGTGCACGGTGAGTCTGTATAGGCCTCCACACGTGCACAGCGGCCACACGTGCACGTTGAGGCTGTATAGGCCTCCACACGTGCACGGTGAGGCTGTATAGGCCTCCACACGTGCACGGTGAGGTTGTATAGGCCTCCACACGTTCACAGCGGCCACACGTGCATGGTGAGGCTGTATCCGCCTCCACGCGTGCACGGCGAGGCTGTATCCGCCTCCACACGTGCACGGCGAGGCTGTATAGGCCTCCACACGTGCACGGCGAGGCTGTATAGGCCTCCACACATGCACGGCGAGGCTGTATAGGCCTCCACACGTGCACGGCGAGGCTGTATAGGCCTCCACACGTGCACGGAGAGGCTGTATAGGCCTCCACACGTGCACGGAGAGGCTGTATAGGCCTCCACACGTGCACGGAGAGGCTGTATAGGCCTCCACACGTGCACGGAGAGGCTGTATAGGCCTCCACACGTGCACGGAGAGGCTGTATAGGCCTTCACACGTGCAGGTGTACTCGTGCGAGCCTCACACTACCAGCAGCTGACCTCACACACTCACACTCGCTCCACAACCTCTCATTAATCCTCACAAACAACGAAGACGCAAACAATAACAACAAAGAAGCGTGGGAAGAAAGTGGGAAGACGTAGAGAAGAAGTGTTGATAATCTTGAAGACATGTTGAGCACTTACCATTGGCTGAGAGGTGAGTGCAAGTCCTGTAGGGTGAGTCTACCCCCCCTCACGCTGCCACCCTCACACCTCACACTAGATCACTCACACTGTACAAATCCACAAATCTTAAGATGGTGTTGGGTGCCTCAAGACGAGAGGCCGAGTGCTTTATTAAGAGAGAGCCTTAACTCATAATACAGGGCTCTCTAGGGGCTCTAATACAACACTCTCCGCCACTATCTATCTAGATCACACTCTTCTCTTCACTGTACACCCAACTTATCTTATAACTTTCTCGTAAACTCATCATAACCCATTTCACTGGCACTTGCGGCCTCCATGACGACGGCCGGTGCTCCCACTGCCCAAGTTCACCACAGACTGAACAAGTGGCACGTCTTGTTGTCAAAGTTTGTGGGGAGCGGCCATTATCTCGCGCAGACGCTGGCTCCTGCCGCTCCCCGCTACCCCGCGCACTTTGAATCTCTCATTCAGCCTCCTCTTTCTCGCCACTTATTTCCCAGTCTGGGTGGCGTTTTGGGCTTGGGGAAGTGCGGGTGGTGTCGTGGGGGAGTTTATGTTGCATGGGGAGGCGGTGTTGAGAGGTGGTCGAGTGGTATATACGGAGAAATTACGATCTCCTTGTGTGGTACCGAGTGATCACCAGCGACGGCTGAGTAAGGTTGGCGGGTCGCGAGGCCACGGGGTGACTGATGCGCGAAAACTATCACATATACACATCCCCGTTTACCTCAAATATATACGCTCAATTTGCAAATTGTTCGCGTCATACAGATATCCTGAATGCAAATCTGTTGTGCATATCAGGACGCTGCTTAACGGCAAGCCGTAGGGTGAGTAGGGAAATGTAGGAATCGTCATGCCAAGGCGTCGAGTGTGACACTAGGACCCGGCGGACCGTCTCTCTGGTCGGCTCCCTCCCTGGCCACCACCTGCACCCACCTTCACCACGATAATCACCACTACATAACCCACTTTACCCACCTACACCACCACTACTCTCTTTACTCACACTCATTATAGGGTATTATGAGTGTTTATTGCGTGAGCGTTTGTTCCTTGAAACTATAGGAAGTCGGGGAGAGTTGATAAATGGTGAAGTAGAGAGGGCGTAGCAAGGGAGGAGAGTTATCGTACGGTGGCGACGTGTGTGCTCTGAGTGACTGGCTGGCTGCCCTCCTTAGCCATACTTTTGTTTGATTTGTCGCCGCTGCCATCCCCCAAACACCCTATCTTGACGCTTTCCCAGACCAACCCACCTAGCACACACACACGCCGCCCCTCCACACTCGCCACACGGCCCTCACACCGCCTAAATACGCTCTAAAATCCCCCAGAATTTCAGGTAGAAGAGAGAGTGAGCATTTGGCAGCCATAAAGTAGTGAGTGGCCCTTGCTGCTGTTTCCTCCACCAGCACCAGTGTCGACCCTTTACACCGCCTCCCTCCCTCTCCCCAGCCTCCACAAACGCCTAATCAAGCGGGTATTGCCGGGTTTGCCCGCCTACCGCCTCTCACGGCCTCTAAACGCTGCTCTAATTGGCTTGACTTTAGGGCTTCACCTACTGCTACTGATCCCTACCTTTTCATTACACACAAACCTTAATTTCTACACTTATTTCTGTTTATTAAACGATATAATTACCAGTAACGGGGGTAGAAGTAGCCTTAAGCTACTCAATCCCTTTGAGATGTATTTCATTCTTGTCTCAATAAACATACAGTACTTTAATTACCAATAATGTTAATGATATCACCTTAACCTTATTTTATATCTTGTAATGTATTTATTTTGTATTGTCATTATGTAACTAAGAAAATAGGTAATATTGAAAATATAAAACATGTTTTAAGTAGGAAATAAGGTGTACTAGAGTATACCTGGAGTATACCTGGAGAGGGTTCTGGGAGTTGTTCTACTCCCCAAGCCCAGCCTGAGGCCAGGCTCGACTTGTGATAACTTGGTCCAAGAGGCTCGGTTGATGGCCAGATGTGCCTAGTGACACTCCCGCACATGTAAACATTTCCCTGGTGATGAATGCTGCCTCAGCACCAACAAGTAGAGGCAGCAGCAACAGTAGCAGAAGCAACGGTAGCAGAAGTAGCAACAGCTGGAGAAGTACTAGAGCAGAAGCAGCACCAGCAACAGTAGCAACAGCAACAGTAGCAGAAGCAGCAGCAACAGTAGCAGAGGCAGCAGCAGTAGCAGCAGCAGGAGAAGCAAGAGAAGCACTAGAGCAGCAGCAGCAGCAGCAGCAGGAGAAGCACTAGAGCAGCAGCAGCAGCAGGGGAAGCACTAGAGCAGCAGCAGGAGAAGCACTAGAGCAGCAGCAGGAGAAGCACTAGAGCAGCAGCAGCAGCAGGAGAAGCACTAGAGCAGTGGCAGCAACAACAGTACCAGCAGCAGCACAAGAGCAGCAGCAGCAACAGCAGAGGCAGCAGTAACAGTAACAGCAGGAGGACGAGAAGCACTAGAGCAGCAGCAACAACAGCAGCAGCAGCAGCAGCAGCAGCAGCAGCACATGGTCAGCATACACAGGCCAGAGTGAATGATAGGGAAGGGTTGCCCGCTCACACCGGCGGCAGGGTTCAAGGTACACCACCACTCACTCACCGAGGGCGGTGGCGGCACCTGGCACCCCTCCTGCCTAGTCCTGGTATCTGTGTTCATCTGTTCACCAAGCTGTGCTTCACGGGGTTCAGCTTCGGCTCCTGGCTCCCGACATTTAACCTTCTCACGATTGTAGTAGCTGTTCCTACGTGCTGTTGACCCCTACGAGTCTGCCTCTACCCGTTTTCTTCGCTAAAATTGCTCCCAATTATTCAGTCTACATTGAATAAGTTCCTTTTAAAGTTTTATTGGTTCATTGGGGAATTTGGTTTCCATTTCTGCTTTGTCATAGTTCCTCCACCTCTCGTGTCAGCCTTCATAGTCTTCTCCGTCTTCAGTTACAACTACCTAAGTCACTGCCTATACGTACAAAATGCGACCTATTTGTTAATATACCTGTGGCTAACTTCCTGAACCCATTATGTGTGTGTGCGTGTAACCATTTCGGCCACCACCCACGGGATGAGTATGGGGTGCATAATATGAGTATGGGGTGCATAATATGAGTATGGGGTGCATAATAAATGAGTGAGTGAGTGAGGAGACGAGGCATCATCACCATGGGTGACAGCAGGAGCAACATCGGGCCCTCAGCATACCTCCAACATTGATCTTGTAATGAGTCACTTGCACGCGGAGAGTTGCCCAGCAACTACAAGAACGTAAATAAAGTCACCAATTTACAAAACAGGAGATAGAGAAAAAACTACGGACCCGTGTTGACCAGACCACACACTAGAAAGTGAAGGGACGACGACGTTTCGGGCCGTCCTGGACCATTCTCAAGTTGATTGTGTGGGTACAGACCAGTACCACTGACAAGCATCCCCCTGCAAAGTACTCGGAAGAGTAACGAGGATAAGATAAGTTATACAGCTAGAGAGAATTTGGTATGAAGACAAACTTCAGCATGGCTATAGGGAAGGTTGGTCATGCCTGACGAACCTCCTGAAGTTCTATGATAAATTAACAAAAATAAGGCATGGCAGAAAATCTCTTCTTGAGGTTATCTTGAGATGATTTCGGGGCTTTAGTGTCCCCGCGGCCCGGTCCTCGACCAGGCCTCCACCCCCCAGGAAGCAGTCCGTGACAGCTAACACCCAGGTACCTATTTTACTGCTAGGTAACAGGGGAATAGGATGAAAGAAACTCTGCCCATTGTTTCTCGCCGGCGCCTGGGATCCAACCCAGGACCACAGGATCACAAGTCCAGCATGCTGTCCGCTCGGCCAACAAGCTCCCTAAGTGTAAGTCAACCTGCCCAGCCTTTCAACGAGAAGGTTGGGCAGGTTACATATTTCTGGATTGGCAAAAAGTCTTTGATACAGGACATAACACGATATTATTAAACAAACTTGAAAAGCAGGCTACCTTTTCTGAGCTTACCTTGAGGTGATTCCGGGGCTCAGCGACCCCGCGGCCCGGTCGTTGACCAGGCCTCCTCGTTGCTGGACTGGGAGGCCTGGTTTCTGCAGTTTAAATCCAGTGTAGATATTTTAGAATTGTGTTGTATAATTTAAAAAGTGCCTTCTGAAACATATTTTAGTATTTTGACAGAGTTTGAGTCTGCCTCTCAAGTTTGTTTAATAATATCGTGTTATGTACTGTATGAAAGACCTTTGACAATCCAGGCGGGAGTAAATGGAACATCACTTACACGAGACAAAAATTACCTAACAGACAGGAGTCAGAGAGTAGCAGTGAGAGGAGAGAAGTCGGAATGGTGTACGGTAACAAGTGGAGTACCTCAAGGATCAGTCCTGGGACCCATAATATTTCATTTATGTAAACGACCTATCTACAGGAGTTAAGTCTTATATACCAATGTTTGTAGAGAAAAAAAGTGAAGAGTTGTGACAGAGGGTTATAAAATTCCCCAGAACGACTTAAAGAAGCTACAGAGCTGGTCTGAGAAATGGCTACTGGAGTTCAACATGAGCAACTGTAAGGTGATGGAAATGAGAACAGGCGTCCAAAGACCAAAAGACCGTACTCAATGAAGAGGGAACTATCTCCCTATAAAGACTAGAGAAAAAATTGAGAGTGGACATGACACCAAACCTAACTCCGGAGGCTCATAATACATAGCATGACGGCAGGAGTTAGAAGCACACTAATGATGTTGTAACTACTCTACACTAGCAAAAGTTAGAACATCATTCAGGAACCTAAATATGGAGTCATTTATATCACTGCACACACCGCCCGCCTCAGACCGGTTTGGGAGTATGACGCCAAAAAGGTTCAGAAGTTTGCAACGAAGCTCGTCCCAGAATAGCATAGGATTAGCCATGAAGAGGGAATGAAGGAACTAAACCTGGTGACGCTAGTAAACAGAGAGAGAGAGAGAGAGAGAGAGAGAGAGAGAGAGAGAGAGAGAGAGAGAGAGAGAGAGAGAGAGAGAGAGAGAGAGAGAGAGAGAGAGAGAGAGAGAGAGAGAGAAAGAGAGAGAGAGAGAGAGAGAGAGAGAGAGAGAGAGAGAGAGGAGAACATGACAAACATGTATACAATATTTAATGGTATTGACTTAGAAAAAAAAGGAGAAAATGTTCACAATGAACTCCAATAACACAAGAAGATATGGGTGGAAGCTTGAGCCACGTATGAGTCACAGAGATGTTAGAAAATAATTTTTAGCGTAAGATTAGTGGGAAAATGGAATTAAAATTAAAGGAGCAAGCTATAGAACCAAACTATATTCATAATTTTAAAGGTAGGTACAATAGTACATTTAATACAATTACAATAATAGGTCAGGAGTCAACCGCCAATGAAAAGAGTCAATGAAAAAGCGG